GACTCTTTTCGCCTAAACGTGCAATGCATTGTACCCTCAGAGCATAGCACCACGTTAATTCTGGCGTGCAAAGACCAACACGGAAGAGGCCACGTGAGTTTCTCCGGGAAGAGCCCTCCGCAATGCCGAGGGGCCACCAAGGAAAAAGCCCTGCTCGCGAGGAGGCAGCGTTGCAAGGCAGAAGAACAGCGGGATGGAAACGGAAGAAGCAGAGGGAAGATGGAGCAGGACCTTGCTTTGGGCACGGAAGTGGAAGAGGACCTCTGCGACAATGTGCTCCGCCATCTGCAGCAAGTCGTCTGGTTTGGCTCCGGAGGCTGCCTGCCCGCAGCACAGCAGCGAGGTGGCGTGCATCTCCCTCTCGGCGCTGTCCCTTTCCTCCTGCAAGCGGGGCAAGGGGCGCTGTGAGGCCCTTCAGCAGCAGAGGGGCAGGGGCCCACGTGACCCAGGGGGAACGTAAGCTCCTTGCCCACCCGTGGCTCACCTGCAGCCCCTCCTCACTGAGGAAACACCTTTCAGGGTGCAAAGCTATGCATGCTTAGACTGAACGAGGGGCCCCTGGCTGCCGGCGTCACTGACTGAGGCATGCTGGGACGTGTAGGCCCTTTCTGTGCCCAACTAGCATGGGACTTGGTCTTGAGAGCAAACTGGGCCTGATCTACAATAGGATCATCTAGTCTGACGCCTCGAGAAGACGCAGCCCTTCAAGATGCCCGGGACAGCCTTGTGCAGAGGCAAAACGAACCCAGCTCCTCCATGGGGCTGCACCGAACGGGGCCGGAGGAGGGAGACCCCGTGTCCGCAGAGGGCTGGGCTTCCTCTTGCACAGCAAACCCGGCTTCACTCTTACTCCCAGGCAGCCCAGGATAAGGCGGTTTTTGGTGATGCGGGAAAGACTCTGCTGGTCCAGATCTCCTCCGGCCCCGGTCCAAAGCTCCCACACTGCCACCCCAGCCTTGGAAACCGTACCTCGGAAGCCTCGCCGGGGACGGACTTCCTTGATTCCAGGAGGCGGCTGAAGTCCCTCAGGGCCTCCATGATCTCGCCCAGGTGGCAAAACGCGGCCACGCCGAACGCCTCGCCGATGCCCTGAACAAACCGGCGCGTGTCAGTGACGGCCCGTCCCTGCACAACCCCCTGCTCAAGCTGTGCTCTTGTTGCACTCAGGACGGTGCGGTGGGCTGGGCTGAATCTCGGATACTGGAGCATGCGCTGCGACAGGGAGGATGCCGCCTCTGAGGGAGTCCCGAGCAGAACCAGGCAGGGCCGCTGGGCTCTTCCACGTGGCGGCACCTGGACGGGCGCCTGAAGTCCTTTCCTCCC